ACTAAAAACTAATTGCAGTGAATTAATACTTGGGCTACGTAGAGTATACACTATTATTTATCTTAATCAGGAAATTTTGGGATATAAATCCTTTTCTTATTTCAAGAAGAGTGGTTTAGTACTTATACACTAGCATTCACGTATTTCTTTTCTAAGCGTTATGCAGTATCGAGTTCTGTTGGATAAACAAGGGACTTGATTAGTTCCGGTTGTGAATGCATCTGTTCACTTGGTAATAGAACATGTTAAATAGACCACATGCTGGTCTATGTCCGCCTTTTCAAAGGAGTAGGGACGGCGTTCGTCATCCGTTTGAACTCAAAAGCTACCAAACTAGTTGCAGAGAACAAGCCGAGTTTCCCCTCACTTAACCCTTCGCCACTGCTTTACACGCAACTCTATGGCCTGCAGCCCTTTGTACAATTGTTCTAACATTGTACTATACACGTTCCGACAATGCAACCACGTACTGGTGTTAGTGTCACAAACGTACTTGGTAGAAACTCTTTTCAATGAATTCTTGGAGATCGTGCATGAGAGGTGAATGCTCGTAGTGTATGAGGAATAATATGTAAGTAAATGTGATATGTGAGAAAATGGAAAATCGAAAAAGTAGTATTACGTAATAAAAATGCGTTAGTAACGTCACTTGAGGAATAATATTTACATATATTGAACGCACGTTCTAGAACAAAAATCAATATGTCATTGTTCATATTTCAAATAATTTTAAAGCGTTAAAAAAAGAAATGTTTGTTAATTGCAAATATAATTATCTATTAATTGTAATAACTATTTGAATGGTACAATTGCCTCGATCACAAGGTTCTTCGCTGGTTCCCTCGCCAGAAAATACAGTACGGAGCAAAGTATATTCTCTGTCTAATGTCTTCTCGATTTTACATAATCCTTAACCGTATCAGCTCACCGATAAACAAGAATGCTGCTCTCCCTAACGAACGCACTCCCTACAATATCCGGCGTGCGGCTCGCGGCTCCATCCAGCGTCAAGCCACCACACAACCTGCGCGTCCGAGCGAGGGCATCCAATTCGGCGAACGTGCTCCTAGGGGAACGTAGCGAGCCGGCGGAACGTGCGCCGCCTGCCGAGCGGCGCGTGGCGCGTGCACGTGCCCGGGGCCGCGGGAGACGATGATGAAAACGCAGGCGTATCGCCGATGTACTTAGCGGAATTGCACCGGCGAGCACGCGCGGCGAACCGCGGTCGGCACCGCGGCCGCCATCGGCAGCGGGCAGGTCGACTCGCCGCGGCCAGCCGGAGCGGCGCGGTCGGAGAACGATAAGATTGCCTCGAGATGCCTCAACAATGAACATTATTGCTTTCAGTTTCAGTACTGAGAAGACAGAGATCAGAGTATCAACACAATGATGCGTAATTATTTTCTATCGGAAACTTTGTGAGACTCAATGAGAAATTATTTCAGGAGAAATATTCCTATTGTAATCTTCGGAGAAATTATGCGCGTTCTGAGAGTTTAACTCATCGTATAACATTAAAATCATATTCTTGATAATAGCTATTCACAGATAATAGTCTGACTAATTCCAGTTATTCGCCCCTACAATACTTTCTCAAATTTATTACGCACTTCAATCAGTAGACAAAATTTGGTAAATAGTACTTTCTAGTCTCCACTATTGAGGTTTCTCAAAACATACACCAGACGAAAACCCAGCAGAGCAAGTTATTATTCCTGACACGTCTTGTATCACCCGGCAGAGCCGCCTGTGTGACACGCCCGAAGCGGAGTTTATAGTGCAGACTTTTACGGCGGAGGTGGTGGTGCTAAATGCGGAACCTCGTTCCACAGCTCGTGCTGTATGTAAACGTACCTAGATCCCAGCGCGATAAAACAATCCCAAAACATCACAACGAAACAACACTTGAAGAGAACAAACGAAACAGTTTAAATAGAACACGTGCTTTCGAAACAATCGCGAAACACTGATTGCTTCAACAAGTTTGTTTTCCTCCTTAGAATAATAACTTTAAGTTTGGGACATGGCTATTTTCGTGCAGTTTTAAATGCTTTAGTGTGTAATAATTCGAAAACAATCAACATATCTTCAACAAAAGTAAATATTGTATTATCGAATTGTTAAACTATCAACAATTTCCTTTCCAATTTTTATATATTATTTGTTAAATATTAATTTGTTTGTCTACGTACGTCAATTCGTGTATAGCTCACATATTGTTGTAAAACTTTCAGCTCCGATGATCTCTGTGAGATCGAGAAAGAATAAAGAAATAATTCCTAAGCAATTCCATGCCGTATTAATGAGGTCAACGGTATCAACTTCTCCGTTGTGAGTATAATTATTACAGCATTCATATGTGAACGTATGGAAACAGTTCCTCCCTAAAGTTTCTTCTCTGGATCTTTCCCGCGACTACCCCAGACCACTTGCCCTGGCGTGACGGGAGGGGGGGGGCGGTCAACCCTAGCGGGACCGAAGGGCGCACGAGAACTCCGAGGCGACCCAGCCCCCATAAAACGCAGACCCGCGGCCCGCGGCGCCGCACCCCGATCTGCCCTGCCCCATTAATCCCCTCCGTAAAAAACAGGAACCGCCGCGTTGGGAACAGCTCGCCAACGGAACGTTGACTTGCTTTTCGCGAAGGGCTGTGGATACTGACACAATAAGCTGCGAAATTCGAAAATGGAGGCCGATCGGGCCCAAACGTAAAGGAAATAGAAAAGCCACGTTTTCTCGGAATGTGATGTGGATATAGTGTTTATCTTGGTGAAATGCGAAGACAGTGAAGTTTGATTGCCGTATGAATTTAACGGATAATAGTCCTTGTAACACGAAATCGACGATGCAACGAGACCAAAATTGTTTTTCCCAGTCGACAAATAAAACAGGAAACCACCTCCGTGGTTTTCCACATTGGATGTGCCAATTTCCACATTTTAGATGTGAAACTGAACTAAATACCAAGAACGAAATTTTTCTTTCTTTAAACACTTGTGTGTTTATGTATGGTATTAAGAATACAAAAAATTAATGAATGTTCGAAAATCATTTATGTTCTAACTTAAGTTTAGAGATAATCAGTCGCTGTGATTACGCAACAGCGCTTGAAAAGGTCAGCTGAATATGCAACGTTATTCTAGTTGAGAATGGGAGCGTGGAACGCAAAATACATAGTTAAACGTGTTATTGAGGAAGTAGATCAATTCAAAACCGCAGCAGTTCTGCGTGTGTATTGATAGGGAATATGTATTCAGTACATCCGGTCCCGTTTCTGAGTCACCTGTCTTTTACTGTCATTAATTCAAGGAAGTTCCTTGTCAGTGAAAGGTTGGGTCATTCTAGAAAATCGCGAGGTAGGTTCGGTGTTGCCATGTTCTAGTTATTCTCTAACAAGGTGTATCTCTTTCCTCCGTCGTTTACTTAATTCTCTTGTCTCTTTCAACATGACTTGACAGCTGTACACACCCACACGACGGTGAGTGACGGGGTGCATAAACGATTTTCGCGCACCCAAATTACATTTTCTCTGAAGTGAACAAACTCAATTCATACTTTCAATAGGTTCTCCGTCGCATTTTGCTAACAATTTGGCAACCGACCGCTATCGATGACGAACGATGGTAATGATGTGTCATACTTGATCCGTGAGCGTAAGCGAAAATTGGAGTTAACACATTTATTACCTCCTCTTTCTTGGACAGATGATCAGATTAGTGGTTTACCATTGCCCTCCACTAGATGGGCCATTTTGAAATCCGGAATTTTTTGTTATTCGTTAATTAGAAGCTACGCCCTTTTATGGTTTCTATTTCGTGCATTTTGATGTTAAAAAATGGCGGCGAATCTGAATTCAGAAAAGAACACGAAGAATGAAATATCAATGAAAGTTTTCAAAATTCGTCATGATTGTCGTATTTTCATTTGCATATAATGTCTATTTGTTGAAGAAAATATCGCATACTGGTACAATAATTCCGACAAATCGCAAGAACGTTTTCACGATCTGAGTCTGCTACGTCACGTCCCCCAAAAAAACTCTTTAGAGATCGGACTCCATCTACATTTATTACTGCACTCCAAGGAGTTCTAATTGAATATTCTATCAGCCCCTGTATTTATAACTTCACGAGACACGTGTCCCTTCCGGTAAAAACACAAATGACGACTGAGTTACGGTGCAGCTAACGAGAACCAAACGTCCGCCTGTGCTCTGTGCTCACGTTCTTTTCGATACGGCGAATAGTGCGAAACCTGCGGCATTCCACCTTTCGGCCTTAGCATGAAACGGGTTGGTCACGGTAGTTCAAGGAACGCCTGTGTGGCTATGCAACCTGGTCTACATTAGTCTTCCTGGAACCGTAATAATAAAACATAGCATTCCTAATACAGTGCGTTTGCCCGACCACTCACACCACTATTGCTCCAACATTTGACGATCATTTCAAATATGACGAAAAAGGAACAGAGTCTGAAGATAAAATATAGATAATGGTATATTTGATAAAGTTCTTCCTTAGTATATATTTCAACTAATGTTGCCCATGTTGTAATATCTGTGTTACTGGAAATAAATTTTCCATATAAATATACACATTGAAGAAAATATCAGGCACCGTCACAATCATTACTTAGAAATGGGTGCAAGTAATTATTCCAATGCTTCAAAAGATCGATTTTGAATCATGATATACAAACAAAATATTAATACTTAAATTACAAGGAATGTACGCTTACGTATTACGAATTAATTTAAAAAAATTCAATACTTGTGCGAACAATGTGATTCCATTTCGCAATACATGTATAATGTAGTATGAACGTTTCCTCCTGCCCGTGTGGCAGTATGGCGTCTTGATTTCCTCTCTTTTGAGCATGACCTCGGTAGGACCGCATTCGAAATTTCATCTGACCCCCACCACACCAGCGACCTCAAGCAAATCGTAGCTCCATTTTGCAGCGGCCGAAGTCGCTCGTCTGTTGCAAGCGTTCCGCACATAATGTATGACAGCGTCGGCGTCGGGTCGGCCGTGGCGCCCTGCGCGGCGGCGGTCAGCGAGGAGAGGGGAGAAATCGGGTGCATGATGGATGTGTCGTAGAGCGCACAGCGCTGCTGGACCCCCGGCGGCCGGCAACGGAGCAGCCAGCTCGCGGCGCGGTGGCGACGGTGGCGACACTGCCACCGCCTCCATCGCCACCACTGCCGAGATCCGCGGGCGGGGAGGGGTGCGCGCGCGGCCGCCGCCGCCGACGCGAGCGGAGGGGGGTGGGGTGGGGTAGAGTCCCGTCTATTGGCCGCGACTCCGCCGCCGCCGCCACCACCGCTGCCGCTGCCGCGGCCTCAGTCGCCGCCGCCGCCACCACCGCCGCCGCTGCCACCGCCGCGTAGTTGCCCGCGGCCGCGCGCGGCGCTTCAGTCGAATTATGGGACAGTGATGTACTAGTGACGGTTCTGCGGGCGCGCCGGCCGTAGCTTCTGCTGCCGCCTCTGCTGCGCTGAGTTGGAGGAGCTCTTCACTTGACGTTGGCCGCTCGCCCGGGTCTTCGCTCTGCGGCCTCGATGGCGTGCGCTGACCTGTCGGTAAGCACTCTGTCGCAACTGTTCTACTTTGGCGGGGGTTGGTTTTTGGCCTTTAGCGGGAGGTCGAGGCGTCTAGACCGGGAGTTCATGTGGAAGGCGTGCCAAAAGCTATTAGTTATATATTCAGAATTTTAATCTAAGCGCGTTTCTTTTAGCTTGGATTACGAATAGTCATTTAAGTTGTTCCGTATACTTTTATGGCAGGGTGTTATTCGTGCCGAATTGTATTGCTGGAAATAGTTTTGAAATTTTGTCGGAAGTTTCATTTGTCAGAATAGTTTCTCCTGGAAACGGCTTTTATTGGTTGTCTGTACGTTCGGAAGGTTGGTTGATCGCGACGTTTGTCAGCAAGGGGACGTCTTGTGTACTCAGACCTTTCATTTTAAAGGAATGGGTACCCACCTGTTCCTAGGACAGAACTGAAGGAATTTGTATTGTGCCGTTACTGAAAGAAATTGAGAATTTGAAACTCGAAATGTTCTTTTAACTTGTGGCACGTGCCCTTATTCGAAGAAACACGTGCCGATGTAGATTGCAAAGAAAAGTTTGATCCTTGTTCCGTCCCAATTCAAATTCGCCTGTTAATGCACAGCTTGTTGGTTTTATTACTTTTCGCATGGCACAAGTAATATAGATAATTGCAGTCGCCTTTGGATTGGAGAAAACTCTTTTAACTTGTGAACAGTTTTCAATTTAGACGAATTGCCTCACGTAGTGTCGGTGGTATGGCATACAGCTACTCGAGTAAGTCTGTGTATGCATACTTTTGAAAAAGAACTTCTGGAATACAGCTACTCGAGTACGTCTGTGTATGTTATAATCTGGAACAGATTAAGATTACAATTATATGATGAGGAAGAAATATCGTAAAGACATACTTGTAAATCAATTTGAAGAAATGAACAATGTGAGGTGGATATTTTGATCACTCCAATCTGGCGTTAATAGGTGTTATGGGGAAACCAGTAAATATATTTGTATTCTTAGAATTCTGTGTACAGTTCGTAGCATGCTCATCCTGAATGTTTCATTCTCTAAATTTTGTTTAATGTCCAGGTTCGCTTTTGAATTGTTTAAATTTATGTAAGGTTAACGAAGCTATTCGTTTACCTCCCTGTGTATGTATTCGAAAATACATACATGCATGCCTTTGTGTGTCAAAGGGACCCCATTTTTTGCAATCCTAAGTAATTGGAAATTTTTTCTCGGTAGGGATAATCCTCAGTTGCAGGCAAATGTTAACCATTCGTTTTGTGGCTGTGGGTAAAATAGTCATTAGCAAAAAATTATTTTCAACACGTAAATTGCTGCGGGTGGTTGAACTCGATAGACTTCTCGAGAAAATAATTCTCGGCTACCATCGCGTGTTGTTAAGTCGCGCTTCCAATTCATTGAAGCGGGAGCAAAGAATAGTCTGCCCGACAAAAGGACGAGGCCACCGACAGAGGAAGCTCAGATGTCGAAGTAGGAGCTCTGCTCTCCACTGCGAAGTCTCGTCTTCCAGTTTCTCCTTCGTCTCGCGTGTTTATTCATATAGACTTTCTTTCGGTCGAAGCTCCCAGTTTTGAGGCTTTTGTGCGCGGAGAAGTAAATACCCCGGGAAGGCCAAGAAGCAGAGAGAAGCTGAGGCTTTTGCAACGGTTCTGCGGGCGTTTGATGTAACTGCACGTCTGAGAGCGGGTGCGGGCTGGGCTGGGCCGGGCCGGGACGGAGCGGAGGCTCGCGGTAAGAAAGGAGCGGGAGGGTCGCTGCTCGCCGGGCGGGGGAAGGGGGAGGGGCTCGCAAAGGAGGACTGCACTATTGTGCTCTGCGACTCGGGCATTTCCCGTCTATTTGAGGCAGCTGGGGACCCGCGGTGGACGAAACTCCAGTGTTGCACGCCGCCCGCCGCGGCTGTACTTCCTCTTTAGCTCTGCATACCGCTGCAAGAGGGCTCAACTATGCGGCTGATGAGTTTACTAGAAATGAGATCCCGGCGCTAGTCTTGTTGATGCTTATTTTTTATGCTGCTCTGCCTTGGGAGTGGCGCTTAAGATTTGCTTTGGGGATTCAAATAATGGAAAATAAAATTCCGATAATTGTTTATGAAAATTTTGGTATTTCAATGATTTGCATCGTTTTGCGTGGTAGGACAAGTTCTGATTAAAAAGCATAGAGTAATATGAAAAGATCATTCCGAAAAAGTTTTCAAAGGTATTGGACCATTTAACGTTCTATTTTACAATACCTATTGCCTGGCAAAAGCATCGGTAAGTTACTCACTTCACGATTGCATTCGTATTGTTCTAATCAGTCTGAATAACCGCTTGATAAATACAATTATATCAATACTTGAAGTTGATAATGACGAGGCAAATTTGTTCACGTGGGCTATATTCTGCAGCACTTTCGGCATATCATTTACAGTTGACTCCCATGTTAACGCAAAGGTGTTCCGTAATATTCTGAACCAATGTTCCGTTAGTTTCAGTAAATATAATCTGAAGTTTGTTTCTGGGCACTAACCGCATACGTGTATTGTTGCGAGAACATGAATTAGACACGTTCTAAAATCAACAAACTAAACACATCGCTAGACTTCTGACCGCCATGATTAATTTAAGTCTTCAAAAGTTGTCTTTTAAACTGAAAATGGTATAATACGAATGGAATCGGAAGCAGTAAATCGTAACAGCAGGACTCGTTTTGGGCTTCTTACAGATTTATAACGGTAGGTTTCTGAAGTGCGGGGATCATGTACCTCGTCCATAATGCACGCGTTTGGTCACTTCGCGTGGTGACGTCACAGGCCGGCCGTTCGGCTGGGCAGGCAGCCGCCTGCGCACTCGTACGCGCCAAACGGGATGCGTGCACGCGGCTCGGCCCGCGCTGTTGTGTGGCGTGGCGTGGCGTGGCGTTGCGGGGCGGGGCTTGGTGTCGCGCCGCGTGGCGTGCCTTGGCGGCCGTGGCGCAGCGAAGCGCCGATGCGGTGTCGGGGCCGTGATGCCGCGGGTGGCCGGTTTGCGTGTGGACGCGACTGCTACTTCCTCCTTTACAGCCGGTGCCGATTGAACGGGCTCAGGCAAACGCGCCCGCGCCCGGAGCAGACGGGGGCGAACGAGAGGCCGCGGGCTGTGGCGGAGAGGAGTTTCGGAGCCCCCCACCCCTCGCCCCCCGGCCCCTTGTACATTCTTTGTCGCAGCCCCCCCATCCCCAACCCTGCGGGGTGGGGCCGTCCGCCGCCCCGTCCGTGCCACCCGGTTTGCCGTCTGGCCGCGCGCCGCTGCGCCGGCGTTCTGGTTTGTGTCGATTTGCCTGTTCTGTGCATCAGCCGAGGCGTGATTTTTCTTCTCCCAGACACTTCGTTCTCGGTTTTCAGTACTGCGTACGGGGTTATGTATGCGTTAAATAGTGTTTTCCGCAGACATTAGTCTGCTACTGTCATTAATGGGTTATTTGCTGAATATTCCTTTCCTCCATATTTGCTTGATCCCTGTAGTCTACATGTAATTCATTTGGAAAATTTGCTTGGATGATACTAGGCTCTCCGGTTTTACATTTACTATCAACGGCAGTTACTCGTATTCCAGGTTTTCATTCTTCATATATTGTCGTAGTTCTATTTTAGAATTTACCATGCTCAAATTCGAGAATTGATTTTTTGAGTCTTTTTTACTTTGCCCTTTATTAGATACATTCCAGAAACAAACATTCACAAACATAATTTTACTAATTTTCTTTAGTAATATTACATTTAATACCTAGGTTGAATGTGCTATAAATTTCTATTCTTCTACAAATTAAAATTTTACATCGTGAACGAATAAAAAAATATCCTAAGTAGACGTAGGGAAACACGATATCGACAACTCCAGAACAAAATCTGGGCGACAGCACCAATTTTGATCATTAATTTATTGCTCGTAATGATTGTATCACCCTCAGTCTCGCTTCCTTTCCCTGCTGCTCCGCGCTCTCGCGTTTCCTCTTTTTTTTTTTTTTCCTTCCACGCGCTCTTGCGCAGTAACTCTCCTTCAGATTCCTCTTTTCTCGCGTCGCTTCCCTTCCCGTCGCCCGCTTTGCTTTCTCAGCTCAATCTCTGCTCCTCTCTCCGCCATCCGCGTCTGTTCCGCTCCGTCGCGCTCCACGGCCGCGGTTCCTCCCGCTCTTCAGCTCGTTCCCCAGATGCGCGCGCTTGTTTCTCTCCCTCCCGGCGCGCGCCCTCGCCTCTCGCACTCCTCCCCTCCCCCTTCGCGCCGGGACGTTCCCCCTCTGCTGTGTACTAGAACCATGATAGGGCCACAGGGCATTCTAGTGCAGTGGACGGTTTGTAGCCACTGGCTGATCCAGGGGGCCATGCCCCCCTCGAAAAAGGCAGTTTTCTTTCACCTTAGTTTGTGGCAATTTTTTTTAAATATGCTTGGAGTATGTAATTTAAACTATTGGTTTAGTATCATATCTAAAATACATCAATAATATATAATATACAATATGCAAACGTCTATTGTTTACAAAGATATAAAATTCCCTCCTTCCCTGATTACAGCCTTGTCTGCGGATACTAGGCCATGAAACGCTCCCTCAGATCGGTGCGAAGTTTTCGTCGCCGCCGCCAAGTCGCTGTGACGAGACGAATGTGGCGACTTCCGAACCGGCGCGACACTGT